GTGGGGGCGGGATTCGTTTTTGATGCGTTCATGTCGTGTGGGGTCCAAACTGTTTCAAGAAGGACTATTGAAAAGGATTCCTTTGGATTCCTGCAGGTTGCAAGAGGGTCCGTCGCGTGAGTTGCGCTGGGTCTGCACTCCCTGGGCACGGTCCGTGAAAATTGCCTGGTGCCCGCGCCCCCAGGACCGCGATCCATGGGAAATGAAAGTTCTTGCGCGCTCCCAGGGCCACGGACCCTTTCAAATTACGCTGCGTCCGCGCTTCCATGGCCAGGATCCGCGGGAAACGGAAAAAACGCGATCTGTGGTCGCTTGGAGGGGGGGGGGTCGAACCTTCCCCCGGCCCCCCCCTTGGATGGAGGGGGGGGGGTTCGAACCCCCCCCCATTGGCGGAAGAGGGGGGGGAGGGTTCAAACCCTCTTCCCTTCCTCTCCTGGGGCCAGCGCCTGCGTCGGCGGCGGCTGGGGGCGGCGGCGGGGACGACGATTTCATTCTCTGGGCTGGCGCCGGCGCCTGCGGCGGCGGGCGGCGGCGGCGGGGAGCGTCGACGAGGACGACGGTGGTGGTGGTGGTGGTGGTGGGTTGTGGTGGTGGTGGTGGCGGTAGTTGGTTGTTGTGGTGGTGGTGGTGGTGGTGTGGTGGTTTGTTGTGGTGGTGGTGGTGGTGGGTTGTGGTGGTGGGTGGTGGTGGTGGTGGGTGGTGGTTTGGTGGTGGTGTGGTGGTGGTTCGTGGTGGTGGTGGCGGTGGCGGTGGCGGTGGATTGTGGTGGTGGTGGTGGTGGTTTTTCGTGGCGGTGTGGTGGTGGTTTGTGGTGGTGGTGGTGGGTTGTGGTGGTGGCGGTCTTTTGTGGACGTGGTGGTGGTGGTGGTGGTGGTGGCGGGGGTGGTGGTGGTGGTGGTGTGGTTGTTTGTGGTGGTGGCGGGCTGTGTTGATAGTAGTGGTGGTGGTTGTGGCGGTGGTGGTGGTGGTGGTGGTGTGGTAGATTGTGGTGGTGTGGTAGAGGTGGTGGGTTTTGTGGTGGTGGGTGGTGGTGATGGTGAGTTGTGGTGGTGATGGGTTGTGGTGGTGTGGTGGTGGTGTGGTGGTGGTGTGGTGGTGGTGGTGGGTTGTGGTGGTGGCGGTGGTTTGTGGACGTGGTGCTGGTGGTGGTGGTGGCGGTGGTGGTGGTGGTGATGTGGTGGTTTGTGGTGGTGGTGGTGGGTTGTGCTGCTAGTAGTGGTGAAGGTTGTGGCGGTGGTTGTGGTTGTGGTGGTGTGGTAGATTGTGGTGGTGGTGGTGGTGGTGGTAGTCGTGGTGGGTTTTTGTGGTGGTGGTGGTGGTGATGGTGAGTTGTGGTGGTGGTTGTAGTGGTGGTGGTGGCTGTGGTGGTGGTGGTGGTTGTCTGGTGGGCTGGTGGTTGTGGTTGTTGTGGGTTGAGGCGGCGGTGGTGGTGGTAGTGGTGGCGGTGGTGGTAGTGGTGGTAATCGTCGCTGCGTCTCCGCCGTCGCCGGCGCCAGCGCCAACGGTGCTGGCTGCCGCCAGCGCTGGCGTTTGTGCCAGGAGACGGGGGGGGGGCTTGAACCCCCCCCAACCCCCAGCGCTCGGGGGGTGTGGGGTTGAAAGCCCCCCCCCCTCTCCTTGGGCTGCCTCTGGTCATCGTCGCTGCGTCCCCGCCGTCGGCGCTGCTGGCGGCCGCCAGCAGTGCCGGCACCGGCGCCGGGGGGGGAGGGGGGTTTGAAATCCCCCCCTTCCCTTGGGAGAGGGGGGGGAGTTCGGGAGGGGTGGGTGGGGGGAGGTGAGTCCCCCTGGTTTTGATCGACGGCGCCGAGTTTTTTTTTGGGGGGGCGCCCCTCGGTTCGAAACGCGCCGCCGAATGTTCCCAAGGCGAGCGCCCGTGCAACGCGTTCTCTTAAAGAAAATTACGTTGCGTCGGCGCTCCCAGGGACGCGATCCTTAAGGAATTACATGGTGCCCGCGGCTGCGAGAAATCTGTCGGGATTCCTGCAGGTTTGCTGCCGATTCCTTCAGGATTTCTGGTGATCCCTGAATCTTCCTCAAGATTTCCTCCAACCTTACTGCGGGCCCCTTCAGATCCCGAGGGGATATCTACAGCTTCTGGAGGAAACCCACGTTATCTCTCAAGGATTCGACTCCTGCAAGGGATTCCGGAAGACTCGCGCTGACTGCGGAAGGATCCTTCTTGCATTGCGCTGCGTCCGCGCTCCCTGGGTACGGTCCTTGCACATTGCACGGCGCCCGCGCGCCCAGGGCCACGGCCCATGGGAAAGAATTGCGCGTGCGCGCTGCAACGGCCACGATCCCGCCCCCCCGCCCGTCGGGAACGAAATAGTTTGTGTGGTGGGCTGACATATCACAGGAGGGACGTTTATTTCGGTGGTACCCCCTCTCTCCAGAATTCATCCGGGCTTGTGGTGGTGCTAGCGATACCGCACGGGGGATCAATAATTGGTTCTCGCGGCTGAAGCGATCGTTTTCTCTCGCGGGTGGTCCGAGCTTGCACTTGTGTTTGGCCACCTGTTTTCATAATATTCGTTGTGTGCAGCATGGGTGGCGCCAAAAATGCCACAGTAATTTGCACAGGTGCTAGCAAATAAACATCGAAACGACATGGGTGCGCGTTGCACGGGAATGGCTTACCCAGGTCTTTTGATGCCGCTGGTCCATAATCATTTGTTTGTTCAAGCCTCGCTTTCTCTTCTTTCGACTCCCAACCGCGTACCACCGCAACGACAGGGTCGGATACAACGATCGTTTTCTCTCGCGTGGTGGTCCGAGCCTGCATTTATGTTCTGCCGCCTCTTTTCGAAATCCTCGCTGTGTGTATCATCCACGGTGATACGACTGCCAGAGTAACGTTCGCAGATGTTAGCCGCTCGGGAACACGTCGGCACGTCATGCTTTTTCATTGTAGGTCGGCGGCGCGATTCTGACGACTTCTCAGAAGACGCGGTGTCTTCTGAGAACCCCCGTCGCCTTCTGAGAAGGCCTGTCCCCTCTCACTTCCCCCGTGGGCTCGCCGTCGTTTTTCGTAGTAGAGCTCGGAAAGAGCGCGTTCTGTGGTCGCTTGGAGGGGGGGCGTTTTAAACCGGTCTTCCCCCCCCCTGAATTGATGGGGGGGGTCAACCCCCTTCCCGTCCTCAAACCCCCCCCCCACCTCCCGCTCCCCCCCCCGCTCCCGTGACGGGGGGGGTTCGAACCTCCCCCCCCGCTCCCGTGACGTGGGGGGGTTCGGACCCCCCCCCCTCCCCCCCCTCCCCCCTGCTTCCCTTCTCCTCGGGCCGGCGCTTGCGTCGGCGGCGGCTGGCGACGGCGGCGGGGACGACGATTTCCATTTCTGGGCCGGCGCCGGCGCCTGCGGCGGTGGGCGGCGGTGGCGGGGAGCGTCGACGAGGACGACGGTGCTTGTGGTGGTGGTGAGTTGTGGTGGTGGTGGTGGTGGCGGTGGTGGTGGTTGTGGTGGTGGTGGTGTGGTGGTTTGTTGTGGTGGTGGTGGTTGTGGCGGTTGGTGGTGGTGGTGGTGGTGGTTTGGTGGTAGTGTGGTGGTGGTTTGTGGTAGTGGTGGTGGTGGTGGGTTGTAGTGGTGGTGGTGGTGGTGGTTTGGTGGTGGTTTGGTGGTGGTGTGGTGGTGGTTTGTTGTGGTGGTGGTGGGTTGTGGTTGTGGCGGTGGTTGGTGGAGGTGGTGCTGGTGGTGGTGGTGGTGGCGGTGGTGGTGGTGTTGGTGTGGTGGTTTGTGGTGGTGGTGGTGGTGGTGGGGTGTGCTGCTGGTAGTGGTGATAGTTGTGGCGGTCGTGGTGGTGTTGTGGTAGATTGTGGTGGTCGTGGTGGTGGGTTTTGTGTGGTGGTGGTGATGGTGAGTTGTGGTGGTGGTGGTGATTGTGGTGGTGGTGTGGTGGTGGTGGTGTGGTGGTGGTCGTGGTGGTGGTGGTGATCGTGGTGGGTTGTGGTGGTGTTGGTGGTTTGTGGACGTTTGGTGTGGTGGTGGTGGTGGTGTGGTGGTGGTGGTTTGGTGGTTTGTGGTGGCGGTGGGTTGTGTTGCTGGTACTGGTAGTGGGTTTTGGTGGCGGTGGTGGTGGTGGTGGTGTGATAGATTGTGGTGGTGGTAGTTCTGTTGGGCTTTTGTGGTGTGGTGGTTGTGTTGATGGTGAGTTGTGGTGGTGGTTGTGGTGGTGGTGGTGGCTGTGGTGGTGGTGGTGGTGGTGGTTGTGTGATGCTGTTGTTGGTGGTGGTGGTGGGTTGAGGCGGTGGTGGTGGTGGTGGTGGTGGTGGTAAGCGTCGATGCGTCCCCGCCGTCGCTGGCGCCAGCGCCGGCGCTGCTGGCTGCCGCCGGCGCTGGCGCCCGCGCGGGGGGCGAGGGGTTTCACCCCCCCCCCCCCGTCACCCCCCTTGGCCGAGGTGGGGGTGGGGTGGGGGGGGTTCGGGAGTGGGGGGTTTGGGGGGGAGGGGAGTCCCCCTGGTTTTGATCGACGGCGCCGAGTGTTGGGGGGGGGCCCACCCCCGGTCTCGAAACGCGCCGCCGAAAGTTCCCCAGGCAAGCCCCTTTGAAACGCGTTTTCTCAGAGCTCAGCATGTCCCCAGCCTCCCAGCAGTGCGCGCGCCTGCTGCTACGACTGAGCGGCCCCAGCTTGGACAGGTGAGCCACAAGCGGGTCGTCCCAGACAGCCAGCAGCGACATCGTTGCCGTTGCGCTGAGATGGCCTTGGGCCGACACGGAGTGCCCATGCCTGGCATCTTCAGAGGAGTCGGGTTTCTATCAAGTATTGAACACGGGCGGCTGACACCTGCCTCTCCAGGACCTCGGTCTGGAACCGAATGCATGCAATCGCTGTTTCCGCGAGGATGTAGGCACACGCGGCTCGGTGCTCGGTGCTCGGTCACCTGCGGCTCCAATGGTAAGTCTTACCATCTCGATCCCTTGCTGTCTGCCTGTCGCGGCTGCTGGCGCCGCCGACCTCACAGCTGCCCCTGCTGCCTCTGCCGCCGACGTGCCGCTGGCGCCTCAGGACTCTGGCACGCTCGCGGTGGAGCTGAGCGAGCTGACGAGGAAGCTCAAGGAACCGCCGTGGGGTTCGGACTTCGGCGGCGAGCCCAGGGGCGAAGTAAGAGGGGCTGGGCCTTCTCGGAAGGCTCGGGAGGCCTCTGGCCTTCGGAGAATGTTTCGAAGCCTTCTCCGAAGGCAGAGCAATCTCTTCAGAAGGCGGGAGAGCTTCTGAGAAGCCCCGCCGCCTTCCTAGAGGGCCTGCTCCTCCTCACCTTCCCTCCTGGGCGCGCCGCCGAACACCCGAAAGAGTCGGCTTCAGCTTCGGGCCCGGGATGAGCGGGGGCGCCGGCGGAGGACCCCCCCCACAGGGGCAAGGCATTCTACCCCCATGGCGATGACGGCTGTTACCGGGGGGGGGAGGGGGGGCGATGGGGGCTGGTAACGTCACTATTCGCGCCGGCGCCGTGTGGGAATTAGCCACCCCTAACAAGTGCCAGCCGGTGCCAGCTCGAACCGTGACGCAGGTGAGGGGATGGGCGGGGGTGAGTACCCCCGGCAACTGGTTATCGCGACTCGTGAAAGAATGCGCTCCAAGCCGCGGCAAAGCGTGAGGGTGCGTGGGCGCCTGTCGGGAGCCGCCGCTGGGAGCCCGTCAGCGTGTTACTCCTTCGGTTTTGGCCGAGGGCCCAGTAACGAGCTGCCTGCGGCAAATCTTGCCACCGCGCTGGCGTAGCACTCCTGGTGGCGTCTATGCCTCTCGAAGGCCCTGGGAGCTTGTTCGGTTTCTCTTGGGGACCTCTAAGGGGCTTGTTGGGGCTCCTCGCCAGCGAGTCTTGGGGGAGCCTCGGAGGCTCTCGGGGGGGCTCCTTGGGGAGTTCAGGGGCGCTCTTGGGCTGTCCCTCCGCTTTCGGAGTCTGTCCAGGGGGGGCTGTCTGGGTCGCCTTGGGGCCCTCCTGGGGCTCAGTGCCAGAGAGGGTTCCCAGCTCAAGTCCCCCCCCCTCTTCGGAACCCGGCTGTGCGAATAAAGAGGGGCTCTCCGCAATAGTCAGGGAGGGGAGGGAGGGGTGTGGCGTCAGATCTGACGCGAGCGCACCTAGCTTGCCCCTCTCTCCCCTCTTTTATCCCTCCCCTCTCGATCTCTCTCTCTCTCTCTCTGCCAGCCTGGCCCCAACCATCAGCAGCTGGCAGCCCCCCAGGGGCCAGCCCAGTCTGGCAAAAACGGGCATCCTGTCCAGGCCGCTCATGCGTCGACGATGTATCGAGGATGCATCAGCGATGCGTCGCGATCCTCCGACCCCATCTGCTCAGAGCATTCGAAGAAGAAAAAAGCTGCAGAAATATCAACTAGTTGGAGGTCCGCGCGGACTTCTTGGGTCGGCGCCTCTGGCGCGCCAGGGAGGGGCTCCCAGAGCAGACCCGACACATCCGCGCGGACCGTCACAAAAGCTCCTGTCCAAGCAGCTTGCTCTTCCTCTGATCTAAACCAGGTCTGCCGTAGCTGGTGTTTTTCGGGTGACGGCAGTTCCGGTTAGTGGAGATGGGACGGGCCCCCGGTACAAATCACTACACCAGGTTCCACTAAACCCAGTTCTGCCGACGCCCGACGAAGCCCCGCCAGGCCAGCCGGGCCGGCGCGCAGCGCACCCTGGCCGCCGAGGCCTCGCCGCCGCTCGGGGACGGGGGGGGGCCGGGGAGCGGTGCCGCTCGGTGCTCGGGGCTCGTGCCGCCGAGCTGCCCCCCGAGCAGTGGTGGGACGGGAGGCGACCGCTCGGCGGCGAGCCCAGGGGAAGGAGGGGCAGGAGGAGGGGGACGAGGAGAAGGAGGAGGAGGAGGGGGAGGGGGGGGAGGACAAGTTAGGTGCGCTCGCGTCAACATCTGACATCCTACCCCTCCCTCCCATCCCTGACCATGGCGCTGATTTTCTCTATCCGCGGACGCGTGTCGTAGCGGACCTGTGGCTCCGCGCGCGTGTGCGTAGTGGGTGGTGGTGCGCGTGCGTGCGTGCGTGTGTGCGTGGTTGTGGTTGTTGTGGTGGTGGTGTGTATGTGTGTGTGTGTGTGCGTGTGTGCGCGTGTGCTGTGGTGTGACGTGGTGTGGCGTCTTGGTGGTTTGGTGGTGGGCCAGGTGCGTACGTGCGTGATGGCGGTGGTGGTGGTGGCGGTGGTGGTGTGTGTGTGTGTCTGTGTGTGTGCGTGTGTGTGTGTGTGTGTGTGTGTGTGTGCGTGTGTATGTGTGTGTGTGTGTGTGTGTGTGTGTGCGTGCGTGCGTGCGTGCGTGCGTGCGTGCGTGCGTGCGTGCGTGCGTGTGTGTCTGTGTGTGCGCGCGTGTGATGTGGTGTGACGCGGTGTAGCGTGGTGGTGGTGGGTGGGGTAGTGCGGTGGTGGTGGCGGTGCGCGGTGGTGGTGCGCGTGCGTGCGTGCGTGCGTTGGTGGGTGGAAGTGGCGGTGGGTGTGCGTGCGGCGGGGCGGGGCGTGGTGCGGCGCGGTGGTGGCGGGCGGATGGGCGCGCGAGAAAGAGGCCCGCGCTGTGAACGACGGAGGCAAAACACCGATCCGAAAATGAGGTCCACGCTGCAGCGGGAGCACGATTCGGAACGATTCGGGAGCAGAAATGAGGCCGGCGCCTCAGCGAGAGCAGCATTTTGGAAAAAAAGGCGAAAACCCAACTCCCGGGAATCCTGTGTGTAAAATTATAGCCGGAGTGCAGTATCCCAAAACAGGGTTTTTAGACCCACTGCGGTTTCCAAGGTCGATTGCGTGCCCGTCCAGTGCGGGCTGGCATCGCATGTTAAAACATGCCTCCTCCTCCTCCTCCTCCTCCTCCTCCTCCTCGTCGACCTCCTCTTCATCCCGAAAGGCATCTCGGAGCCCAGAGTTGCGAGGATGTATCCAGCGTAACGGGCTGGACCACCTCGCGCGCGGCATTTCGGACCCCAGAGTTTCGACGATGTCTCGGGCGAAACGTGCTGCGAGGAAGTCTCAGGCGAAACGGGCCGGACCACCTCGAGCGCGGCGTCTCAGAGCTCCGAGTTGCGGGGGCCTCCTGGTGCCTCCTGGGGCCTCCTGGGGACCTCCTGGGGCTTCCTCCTGGGCCTCCTGTGGCCTCCTGAACTCCACCTGGGGTTTGGGTTTCCTGAAGCGTCTTGGGGCTCCCAGGGGGGATATCTAACCTGTGGCCGCTTGGGCCACTCAAAATACAGGGGGGGCCACAAGAGCAGGAAAAATCAACGAATCGACACCGGATGTGAATTAACTTGACACGTTCTGATAGGGGGCCTCCTGGGGCCTCCTGGGAGCCTCCTGGGAATCTCCTGGACACCCCTTGGGGCCTGTCCTGGGCGTCCTGCGGCCTCCTGAAGCTCTCTGGGGCCTCCCCCTCCTCCTGCCTGCTCCCTCATGCACATCATCCGCCTCCTCCTTCTCCCTTCCATCTCCTCCTCCTCCTCCTCCTCCTCCTCCTCCTCCTCCTCCTCCTCCACCTCCTCTTCATCCCGAACGGCATCTCGGAGCCCAGAGTTGCGAGGATGTCTCCAGCGTAACGGGCTGGACCACCTCGCGCGCGGCATCTCGGACCCCAGAGTTGCGACGATGTCTCGGGCGAAACGTGCTGCGAGGAAGTCTCAGGCGAAACGGGCCGGACCACCTCGAGCGCGGCGTCTCAGAGCTCCGAGTTGCGGGGGCCTCCTGGTGCCTCCTGGGGCCTCCTGGGGACCTCCTGGAGCTTCCTCCTGGGCCTCCTGTGGCCTCCTGAACTCCACCTGAGGTTTCCTGAAGCATCTTGGGGCTCCCAGGGGGGATATCTAACCTGTGGCCGCTTGGGCCCCTCAAAATGGAGGGGGGCACAAGAGCAGGAAAAATCAACGAATCGACACCGGATGTGTATTAACTTGACACGTTCTGATAGAGGGCCTCCTGGGGCCTCCTGGGAGCCTCCTGGGAATCTCCTGGGGGCCCCTGGGGCCTGTCCTGGGCGTCCTGCGGCCTCCTGGACCTCTCTGGGGCCTCCTGAGGCTCGCAGGGTCCCATGGAGGATATGTAACATGTGGTCTTCTGGGCCCCCAGGCTGGACCACCTCTTGCGCAGCATCTGACAGCTCAGAGTTGCGATAATGTCTTGTGCGAAACAGGCCGGACCACCTTGCGCACGGCATCTCAGAGCTCAGAGTTGCAAGGATGTCTCAGGCGAGACGGGCCGGACCACCTCGCGCAGGGCATCTCAGAGCTCAGAAGTTCGAGGATGTCTCAAGCGAAACGGGCCGGACCACCTCTCGCGCGGCATCTCCGAAGTCAGAGTTTCGAGGATGTCTCAGGCGAAACGGGCCGGACCACCTCGCGCAAGGCATCGCAGAGCTCAGAGTTTCGAGGATGTCTCAGGCGAAACGGCCCGGACCACCTCTCGCACGGCACCTCGGGGCTCAGAGTTTCGAGGATGTCTCAAGCGAAACGGCCCGGACCACCTCTCGCGCGGCGTCCCGGAGCGCAACTTTTCGAGGATGTCTCAGGCGAAACGGCCAATCCCGGCCAACTCAGAAACGAGAGTTGTGAGGATGTCTCAAGCGAAACGGCCAAAACCATAAAATTTGTGTGAGGATGTCTCTGCTCCGCCTTCCCTCGGCCGGAGTTAGTTTCTATCACAACAGCACCCCGTTCAGCAAGCTGTTTGGGGAAAAACAGTACGCGGGGGGGGGCTCGAATATTCCCAGCACGCCATCAGAGGAAGAAGGAGAGTAGTATTCATATTGAGTAATTGTGGAGGGGGAGGGGGAGGAGGGGGAGGGGGAGGAGGAGGAGGAGGAGGAGGAGGAGGAGGAGGGGGAGGGGGAGGAGGAGGAGGAGGAGGAGGAGGAGGAGGAGGAGGAGGAGGAGGAGGAGGAGGAGGAGGAGGAGGCCCTCTCAGAAGGAGGCGGAACTTCTGAGAAGCCCTCGGGCCTTCTGAGAAGTTTTATGTGTCTTCGGGGAAGGCCTAGGAAGCTTCTCAGGAGGCCGGGGGACTTCCAAGCCTTCTGAGAAGATCTGCCCATTCACTTCCCCCCTCGCTTGCGGCCGAACCATGTCTTGAAGTTCGCAGAGCGGCAGCGAACGCGATCCGTGTTTCTCAGGGGGGGCCAAGCGTACCCCTGAACAGACGTGCTCTGGAGAGGGGGCTTCAAGGCCCACGTCGGGGCGCCCACAACAGCTGCGTTTTGGCGCCCACCGTGGCTGGAACCATTGCCGCTGCGACGCCTCACTGGGGGTACGTCGCCCTGGGGGGTACCTTTGGCCGTTCCTAAATTCTGGGGCGACTGAGGAGGAGGTCAGCAGCCCAACCGTCGGTAATAGCGAACCCAAGATCAGACAGTCATGGCCAGGGTCGGTGATCCGCAGGACGTGTATGATCGGAGCAGACAAACGGCATGCGGCATAAACATAAATGTTAAGCGTTCCGCGCAGATTTCCTGAATCTGCGTCGGGCCACCCTGGCGGCGCTTCCGGTGCCGCCCCCGCGCGCTCCGCGCACCAGGGAGGGAAGTCCAGCGCCAATCCAAGATATCTGCGCGGACGTCCGAAACTACAGCAGTGCCCACTACGATTCCTCCGATCATATTCGATTCGACTTTGATGGCTTCCGATTCAGATTCGATTCGATGTGGGATCATGATTTGGATGTCGAGTTCTCAACGGAGGCCTACTAGCCTGCCGATTTCTGCCGATTCGACTTTTCCCGACTCTGCTGCCGATTTCCGCCGACCCAGTTCATTTCGATCGCCGATCCATCCGCAGGACGTGTGTTAGCCCACTGTGTGTTTGCCCCGTTCAGCTCTGCCGACGGCGCGCATCCTGTATCGTCCCCTCCTGCACCGCCCGCGTCGTATCGAAGGGCTTTGGGTGGACGAGGCCGCGCCGTCGCAATTATTCGCTCTGAGGATCATCGACAGGGGGGAAAAAGGGCACGGCAGGCTCGCATCGTGTAGACGCGGGAAGCTGAGAGTGAGCTTCGTGGATGGCCCTGTCGCGGCCTTGCTGGGGTCTTTTGGGGGGGGCCTTCGCGGCCCTGCGACGCCGAAGCAAGGGAGCCCCAGCTGAGCTCCCCCCGTCGGATCCTCGCAGTCCTACGCGGGCCCCCGCAGGGCTCTTCTCGGGCTTTGGGGCCATCTTGGACGTTACAACGGGACTGTCGGGAAATCAGCTCCTGATGTATGCATTGTCCTGAGTAGACCCCCGACGCGCGCAGCTTCTCATGCGAGGCCATGGCCTCACCCGCCTCGCCCTTAAGGGGCCTGGGCGCATGCCCGCACAGGCGTTCCGTTCCGTTCCGCTCCGTTGGACGTTACAACCCCTCGCGATTGCTCCAAACCCCGGGGGAAGAGGTACGGAAGTGCGGCAGGTTCGTGTCGTGCCGCCGCGGCAGCGACCCCGCCGCGGGCTCTCCAAGGTGGGACGCCGCCGGTGGTCCGGAGAGTCGGCCGGTATGGAACGATCTGGCGACCGAGGAGCCGCCGAGCCTCGAAGGCTGAGCGGCCCATGCTGTGCCAGAAGCCCGCGCTGGGGTCCCAGCGCGGACCCGTCGTGGCTCCCTCCCCTCGGCGGCGAGCGGAGGGGAGAAGTGAGGAGACCCGCCCCCTCTCACTCCTCCTCGTGCTCGCCGCCGAGGGCCTGCTGTGATCCCCCTCCCCGAGCGGGGAGGCCTTCCCCGAAGGGGGCGGTCGGGGACAGAGTTCGGCCGTGGGAGCCGGCGTACACCTTAGGCGATGCTTAAGAAAACTGAAGTTTTCGGCCAGAGTCTCGATTATTCTTAACGTTTCAATGTAAATCTTATGATTTTAATCGTAGTTCTGGGTTTTTATTCAAGTTCTGAGACTATGAATTTCTTAACCCATGATTTCTTGAGCATTTCGCAGGGTGTAGACGGAGGGCAGCCCTGGGGCCGGTCAAGGGAATTGGCGGAGGCGGGAGGCTCTTCGTGTGGAGGCCTGGAGATCGCCGAGGCAGGGGGGTGCCTCCACCAGGGAAGATTCCTCTCGCTTCGCGGGGTGCACGTCCGCAGCATGTGCAGTCCAGACGTGGTGTGGCCTGGTGGAAGCCTCTTGGAGGCCTCTTGTGGGCTTCTTGGGGTCTCTTGGGGGCTTCTTTGGGGCCTCTTGGGGCCTCTGGGGGGCGTCTTGGGCCGGCTTGGGGCGCTCTTGCGCCGTTTGGCTTCTTCGGAGGCCATCCTGTGGGCCTCTCGCGACCGCCTTAGGGCTCTCTTGGGGTCATCTTGGGCTGTCGTGGGGGCCTCTTGCACCGTCCTGGGGGCCTTTTTGGGCCGTCTTGGGGTCGTCTTGGCCCGTCTGAGGCCATCTTGAGTAGTCTTGACGCACTCTTGGACCCCCAAGAAGCCCAAGGGGGCCAAACCATATATCTTTATAGGTTTTGTACGTTTGCAGGGCCCCAGAAGGGTGCCGCCGCCACTTTGGTACGGACATGTGGCGCGACTCCAGGGGGGGGGTCAGGGGGAGGAGACATTATAATGTACTAAACTACACGATGTAGCAATTATACCATCTGTGGATCGATTGGATACGTTGCATTTCAGCATCCACGGACCTGCCTCCTGCAACACGGCACTTCCGGACGTGGATTCACCCGCTTGCGCCACACCGCCGACCCTTGAGAGCCCGTGCATACCGAGATCATACTTGATCATCGGTGGTCCATTCATGTGTTGCTATCATCCTTTTCCTCCTCTTTCTTCTCCTTCTCCTTTCCCCTCCCTCTTTCCGCGCTCCCTCCCCTCCACCCTCCGACTCCTCCGAATCCATAGTTTTTCATGTTTCGTTTGTCCACTGACTGTGGCGTCCATCGTGCCATCCTGTTGTCCCCTCGATCTTCGATCGTCAATCGTGGGGTGCCTCCACTGGGGGAAGATGATCCTAGATGTTGGTGCCGGTGGCAACATTTCGGCCACCTGAGAGGCCCGATTATTTCCGCGACCATCGAGGTCGGGGTCATTCCCCTTCGGTGGAGGCAGCCGCCGATGTTTGGGATCGGTGCCAACCTCTGAGCGTCCCACTGTTCGAGGAAGCGCAGACAAGGACGCAGGCGAGCGGATCAGCGACGGGTGTCGCTTCCATGCAGAGAGTCGGCGTGGAGCGTCGCCAAGTCGGGCGGCACCGGTTTTACGTTTCGGGGGGCAGCGTCCCCGATCCGTGGATCTGGCGCCGACGCGCCAGATCCACGGATCCTCAAGCCAAGTAAGCGTGTGCCTGAGTTCTTTCCGACCAGGAAGAACAACACACCTTAACGCAAGCACCGTTTCGGGGGGCATCTTCTCTGCTTGTACACGCCTCGACGGACACAACGTCTGGACAGGCGCTCACGTAGCTGTTTGCGCTCTTCCTCCTCCTCGTTATGGGCGGAGTTGGGGACTGAAGCGAAAAAGTGTGACTACAGGCAGCCTCGCGATGGGAGGCGGACGGCGCGCAGGGTGGCGGAGAAACCGAGGAGCAGCTGCAGGATCCAGAAGTTCCAGCAAAGGCAGAGCAAGACACCGAAGACGCGGAACCAGAAGTACATGTAGAACAAACACGGTGGGGATTGTGGTGGTTTCGAACGTGCAGGTGGTGCTCGAGACAGCGTAGATTTGGCCTTGCCGTGCTGTTGTAGTAGGAGACGGCTGCAAGACTGCCAGAGAGTCACAATCGCTGTCGTCTCTGACGTCACCGAAAATCTCATCCTACGCTGGGGCATGTCAATGGCGGTCACCTCGAACAGAAATTGCGTACAATTCCTGGGCCTCCGCAGTCATCATCCTTGCTTGCGCTCGGGTAGCCGGCACGAACGACACGGAATTTTCTGGCGATCTGTTGTTTTTTTTTCGTGCGGGTTACATATGCATCTTCTGAAACCGATACTCACCACCCACCAAACCACCCCAACCCAACCCGAAGGCCCAAATGTATCCTCGATTTCCAGTGGGGGGGGGGTCGGGAAACATCGAAAAAACACATGTGGAACCCTTACCCCCCCCAACCCGAAATTCGGATCTTCGGGTTGGGTTGGGGTGGTCTGGTTGGTTGTCAGATACAACGAGCTGATAGTTTGCGGCGTCCCGGATCCGCACTTGCTTCGTACGGTCAGGCACCTGCTGCCGCAAGCTGCCGAGGAGCTCGTTCTTGGCCCGCACGGAGGGGGGTGCATCAGGGCGGCACCGAGGACGAATGCACCTCAGGCGATGCTTAAGAAAACTTAAGTTTTCGGCCAGAGTCTCGATTATTCTTACTGTTTCAATTTAATTCCTAAGATTTTGATAGAAACGTTGGGTTTTTATTCCAGATCTGAGACGATGAATTTCTCAACCCATGATTTCTAAAGCATTTCGCAGGGTGTACGCTTCTTGGCCTTTGAATCGTCATAAGACCACTGGATCTGGCGTGTTCGTGGAAATCTCGGGCAGCCGGATCCTCCTTGAACTCAACGGGACAACCCTGGTCGAGATCGTTGCACTTGTAAGCGGCCGCCGCGGCCGTGACCTGCGGACGGAAGCTAGCACAGTCTTGGCGTGCTCAACCATGGCGGCGCTGAACATGGGTCGATTGAAGCCGCCGATCCAAACCGTTGCCGTATCAGGTGCCACCTCTTGAGCATGGTGATGGTTCCTGGACCCGCGACTGAGTGGGGTTCTGAAAGATGCGATAATCGATCTCTCCCACTTGGCGTCGATGGCGGCGTCAACTAATTTCTGAACGTCGGCTCGGATGCTATGACTGGACTCTTGCACCATCTTTTCCATGGCCCCGAAGCGCCTGTCGTTCTCTTCGACCGCATGCTTAGTTTCGGCTAGCGTGGCGACGCTGGGTTCGACGCTGGAGGTGCGTTTGGATGCCTTCTTCAACTCGGTGAGAATATTCCGAACCCCACCGGCGACTCCATCTGTCTCGCATCTTCGGAATTTCTTGACGGGCGGCATCCCGGGAAAGAACGGCGAGATTGGTGTGGCTCGCGAGATGATGAACGAGTCTGCGTGCTTACGCGCGCAAGGTGAGGCGGAGCGCGCAGTGGCGCGCGCCTGTGAGTTGTAGAAGGCCCAGGCCTCCCAGCCTCATGGCCCGTTCAGGAGACGTGGCGCACGTTCGCCAAGCTCATTCCCAAACATGATACTACTTGCAACCAGGAAGCGCGCGGGTGGGACGTGGACCGTCTCCCTCTGCGTCAAGATGTTTGCGGGCTCTCTGCGTGGAATTCTTTCGTGGCACCGCGCGTTGCGGGCGGTGCCACTGTCTTCGGTCATCTGTGGCTTGGAGTTGCTTCTCGCATCGAGCCCAGCGACCCCATGCCTGGCCGGCCCCCGGAAGTCGCTTCTCCTGGCTCCAGGGGGGGGCCCGCGGGCTCCCAACCTCCACCCTCGACCGCGCACTCCCTACAGTGCCGTTGTTTATACATGCTCCGCGTGCGGATCATGTATTAAAAGTGCAGGGATTTAGTATTAAAAACAACGATGAGTTCATGCATAAGTTTATTCATAATTTAAACATGTATTAAACATCCAATATTTAAATGTATGAAAAACTGCCCTTTAGCGCCGACAAGAAGCTCGTGCCGAGGCAGGTCTTTTCTCGCCTCCCACCCGCTTCCCAGGCTCTTGCGCTCTTGCTCGGCGAGGTCAGTATCATCGTGGATGGCGGGCCCCGGCAGTAGCGCAACGGCGCGACCACTGCCTCCGCCCACGCCCCATGCAGCTTCGTTTCCACCATATGTTCCGATACCCAGCCTAACTTGTTCAGCCTATCTCATTCATCGCGCCGCCGTGGAGGAGGGCGGGAGCACCGTGCCGTTTGGGGGAATAGGTCGGAATACATATTTACATATATATATACATATATATATATATATATATATGTATATATCCACACATACTTGAATACATATATATATATATATGTTTGTACATATCCCCCTCCGTATCATACCTTTCGCCTTCGCTCCAATCTCACATCTCCAATCTGGTCTTCCTCCTTCCCATCGCCTTTTGCTTCAATCTCCCTGCACCTTCGCCTCCTTCTCCTCCTCCTCCGCTTTCACCTCCAACGTTTCTTCCCGGGTTGCTCTCCGCCTCCATGCCCTCCGCCTCGTCCTCCTACGCCGCCGTTTTGCGCGCTCTCAACCCGTGTATCCCCTCCTTCCCCATCCTCCTGCCCCCCTGCTCTGGGGCGACGAGATCTATGCATATCCACTGCTCCTGGCCAGGCCCATCCTGGGCCCAGGAGCGGTGTATATGCCTCCCTGGCCAAGCCAGGAGGGCGTATACACAGCTCTTGGGCCCAGGATTGGCCTGGCCGGGAGCAGTGGATATGTATAGATATCGTCGCCCTATGCTCGCCCTCCCCTCGCCGCGTGCGCTTTCCTCGCCCTCGCAGGCCACGCCGCCGTCCATCCCCGCCAGCGACCTGGAGCAGGGGCCGACGCCCGATCGGCCCGGCGGCGCAGACGCAGGCGGTGCGCCCCCCTCGCCGCGGAGTGCAGGCAGGATAGCGGAGTGTCGAGCAGTGGCGAGGCGTCCTGGCGTGCCTACAGTATATCGGGGGCGGCAAAGAGTCGCAGGCCTAGAGGTTGACACCAACACCAATTTCGGCGGTGCGCCTCCACCGAGGGAGGAAGATCCCGATCTCGGTGATGGTGGTAATACTCGGGATTCCTAGGTGGCCGAAATATTACCACCAACACCGGAATTTTGGATCATCTTCCCCTTGTGGAGGCAACCCCCTGCGTTGGTGTTGGTGCTCATTTCCAGGCCTCCAAAAGAGGGGGGTGATGACTAGGGGGGGTGGATATCCCGGCGGGGGCCATGATATATTTCCCCAGATCTCATGGCGCCTCTTCTTATTCCATTACGTCCCTGGCCCCCCCGCTGGGCCGCGCACATGCCACCGGTCATGATTTGCACCCCCCCTCTTGGACACCCCCCTCTTGGCCGCTCCCGATCTCCGCGGAATGCAGGCAGGATATCAAAGTGTCAAGCAGTGGCGAGGCGTCCTGGCGTGCCTAGAGTATAGGCCCACCAAACAATGTTCTAAAAACCTTATCTGTGGCTTCCGCGAAATGTTCTTAGAACATGTATGGCTGGGACTGTCTCGTTTCATCGCATTGGGTTTATGCCATGTTCTAAGAGCGTTGTTATTTGGTCATTAGCACATTTTTGGGCTCTAAGAGCATGTCGTGGTAGGCGGATAGGATTGCCGGGACGGTCGGTCACTGCCCAAAGTGGAGGGGAAGCCATATGTGGGGCGCTGCAAGAAGGTTCTCGCCGTCTCCTCTTCCTCGGCAGAAGCGGGAGGATGTAAAAGGAGGGTTGCTCCGCGGGGGGGAAGTCGGCGGAAGCGCGTTGGGCTCCACAAGAGATGCCATTATTTTGGGAGTTTGGGTGTCCGGACCCGGCCATATGTGGGGTGATACCAGGGGGAGTAGCGGGATACAGAGAGTTTATAGAGATCTGTTTGATGTTTGCGCATTATTTGTGGCTCCTCAGGAGGCCTCGGGAGACCATGGCAACGGAATGAAGCCCCGGGGGGCTGATGGGTCAAGGCAAGCTAGGTGCGCTTGCGCCATATCTGACATCCTACCCCTCTCACCATCCCTTCACATTGCGCGTTTTTGTCTACATCTGCCGACGCGTGTCATGTGCAATCGACGAAAGGGAAATTGCGTACACTCGCAGAAGAGGCAGTGGCGAATGAGCAGCAGGATGAGGAGGATACATATGAAGGTGAAAAAGGATGAGGACGATGACGAACAGCAGCAGCAGGAGCCAGAGTGGAAGGAGCGGGAGGAGCAGGAGGACTAAAAGGCGCAGGCGGGGATATGAAAGGTGCGACGACGATGAACAGGGGCTCGGATCGAAGTGGCCCGCGCTGCCGCGAGAGCGCTGTCTTGAACGACGGGAGCCAAGCGCCGATCCGAAAGTGAGGCCCACCCTGCGCCCTAAGACCCGGTTTGCGGACGATGTAAAACAACATGTGCTGACCACCATGAATTACGACGATTGGACTCAGGTTGCGAAGTTAGAGGCGTGGAACCACCTGCGGGACGATTATCACCACCCATCAAACCACCCCAACCCAACCCGAAGGCTCAGATTTACCCTCGATTTCCAGTGGGGGGGGTCGGGAAACATCGAAAAATTACATATGGAGCCCATACCCCCCCCAACCCGAAATTCGGGTCTTCGGGTTGGGTTGGGGTGGTCTGGTAGGTAGTCAGTTAGAGGCGTGGAAACACCTGAGGGACGATTACATCGAGATGTGAGCGGGCCTCGGCTTTCCCGACAGCGCCCTCGCGGAGCCCTGCGCCGGCTCCCGCTCCGTTCCGTTCCTGCAGCGGGAGCACCATCTTGAGACATCGAAAACCATCGGATCGTAGACAAAATTGCATAGCAGCATATATCAGAACAGCTCAATGGTTGAAATCCTGTGTTCCACAGTGCGCGGAGGGGGCCGAGCATCTTCCGGACAGGATCAGGGGAGAGACGAGAGTGATTGTGAAGAAGGCGGAAGAGGTGGAGGAAGAGGTGGAGGGGACAGAAGGGGATGGATGGATCGATGGATGGTAGAGGAATGGATGAAGGAAGGTTGGATGCCTCGCGGGGGAGGGAGGGCGCGCGGGACGGGTGAAGATGAGGGGACCGATAAGTTGGTGTGGATAATTCCCCAATCGGAGCTTGCCTCTGTAGGGGTCCTAGCGGATTCGTATGGTTAGGTGAGGTTTGGCGCCGATTTCGGCGGCACGCCTGGGTGCCCAGATGCCCGGGTGCCCTATAGCCCTACAGCCTAATAGCCCTATTGCCCTATAGCCCTATAGCCCCTATCGCCTTATAGCCCTATAGCCCTAATAGCCCTACAGTCCTATAACCCTATAGCCCTACAACCCTATAACCCTATAGTCTTACAGTCTTATGGCTTTTAGCCCTATAACCCTATAGTCCTATAGTCTTGTAGCCCTATAGCCCTATAATCCTACAGCCCTATAGCCCTATATCCCTAGAGCCCCAGAACCTTGTAGCCCTATAGCCCTATAGTTCCATACCATTATAGCCCTACAAGGATGATGATTGTGTTTTCTCCAGTATCATTGAAGGAATGAGGAGCAGGAAGAAGAGAAGGTGCCATCACAACGCCCTCCCTGCGAGTCTGGAGGTCGGTTGCCTGGCGTTTTGTTGTTTTGATTTACTTTTCAAGCTGCTCCCTCCCTGCGAGATGAGTTTGGAAGCAGAGACAGGCTGCAGCGCACGGCGGCCTCGAGGGGGCCAGCCCCCGCTGCCGTGCCAACGAGGAGTCCCGCCTCGGGGCCGAGCGCAGCCCGGGGCGGCCTCGGGGCGTGCTGCTCTCCGAAGGGCCGACGAGCTCCTGCAGTCGGTGGCGCGCCCGGGAGGAGGTGAGAATCAGGAGGGGAAAAAACACACAGACACAATTAATCGTCGACTCCCAGGAAAATATACAAAAATATGGGAAGTGGGGGGGAAGACCAAAACCCCCAAAATATGGGAAAACATGGGGAACATTGTTATTTGTGTGTATTTATTTGTGTGCCCCAGGGCCCCTTCAGAGAAGGAGCAGCCGGGGGGCGCGCACATTGGGGGGCGATATAACATGGGGTGGGCAGCGAGCGCCGCCGACAAGGAGCCCTTTATAGGGCCCTGAATGGGGCCCTTGGAGAGCTCCCCAAAGGGGGCCTCTCGGGCCGGAGAAGCGCACCTCGCTTCCCCCCCCCCGTTTATCGTCCCCCATTTTGCGCCGCCCAACCAGGCCTTCCCAGAAGGCGGCGAGACTTACTCGGAAGCCCTCCAGCCTTCCGAGAAGTTGTCCCTGTCTCCTGGGAAGGCTCGGACAACTTGTAGGAAGGCCGGAGGACTTCCGAGCCTTCTGAGGAGGCCCGCCCCCTCTCGCTTCTCCCCTGGGCGCGCAGCCGATGCAGGAGTGTGAGAGCTGCCAAGCGGCATGCTGTCCTGGTATTTCGTTGGGGCGTTCCGAGGCTACGCAGCGCATTGGATGAGAATCTGCGATTCATTTGCAAGACACCATAGTGACAGCGAGTGAACACTCTCCTCCTGGCAGGCATCGCAGCAGAACTGAGAGCACGCCGCGATGGGGCCTGGATTCCGGGTGGAGGGTCTCTCCGAAGGGCTAGGCTACCCGTCCTCCTCCTCCTCCTCCTCCTCTTCCTTTTCCCCCTCTTCCTTCTCCTCCTCCTCCTCCTCCTCCTCCTCCTCCTCCTCCTCCTCCTCCTTGGTGCGCGTGCGCGTGAAGGGGGGAGGTGCTGGACCGCAGCCGTGCGGCTCAAGCCTCTCTTCGCCTGAAGGCAGGCGCTCATGCCCCGCCCCTGCGCCCTCGCACTCTTCGCTGCGCCATATTTGGCAGGACTCCGGAGGGTCTTCCTGGGACAGTCGGGCCCGGCGCTGGACAGTGCGCTGGTGCTGGCCGAGTTTCGGGTCGGGCGAAAGGGGGGGATTGGGAAAGGGGGGGTTACGAAATTTGCTGCATGCAGCTGGTTTCGGCCTCACCGAGGGGCCCATTCCTCGATACATAGCCGCTTCCGGCGCCGGGAGGCGCGGGGAAAATCAGCTACGTGAGCTGATTCTCAAAACCCCCCCTTTGCTATCCCCCCCTTTCGCCCGACCCGAGAGTTGGCGCTGAGTTCAACAGGGAGCCGCCGACCTCGTTCTGTGGAGATCGAGCCAAATATCTCTTGTCCGACACCCGTGCGGTGCGAGGAGGTGGTCGTGCTTCCGCGTGAGGGTGAGTCGTGTATCCCTTGCCCAGCAGCCGAGCGGTGCGCAAAGGATGTCTGTCAGCCCTGTGAGTGCGAGTCGTGTATCCCTTGCCCGGCACCGGAAAGGTGCGTGGAGACGGTCGAGCCGCCCAGGACGAAGTGTGAGTCGACGATCAGCATCGAGCTGGATCGTGAGGGCGCGACGCCAGCTAGCTGGTGGCAAATTGGCTTGGGCGTGTCAGCTACGTTTCTGAGCGGACTTCTGTCATCGTGCGGGGGCCGAGCCGACATTTGGGAATATGGCCTTCGTCGAGTGCACCACGCCCTTGCCAGGGCACATGTTCGTGGTGTTCTTCGAGGGTGGCGCCTGGGGCCACGAGCGCTTGCTCATCTGGCCGGTGTCCCCTCGTGCTGGCTGGTATACACTTCAGGGGGATTTCTATGGCGAGGACACGACTTTGCATGACAAGGTGGTGTCGGTGAAGGCGCCCGGTGAGCGGCCAGCAGGACTCGAGGACGAATATCGTACAGTTTGATGCTCCAGCTCAGCGGGGAAAGCTGCTGGATCTGATGGCCGCTGCCCAGCTACATGCCGATGGGCTGAGACGGGCACGCGGGCTGCCAGATTGGCCGGCGCCAGGGCGCTGGATCGCCGGCGAGGGCATGCTCGAGGCCATGTCGCGGCCCCAGCGGGTATTGGGGCGCGGGTCGCTGCCGGTGCCAGGGCCCCC